GCCCCAGAAAGGGTCAAGGCAGAAAGAGGGTGGGGGCACAAGTTTAGGTAGGACAGCCTATGCATCAAGGTAAAGGAAAATGTCAAGCTGTGTGGGGATCTGGGTGAAGAGCCTTCCAGATGAGGGAAACAGTAAGTGCAAAGGCCCTGGGGCAGAGCACTCTGATAGTCAGTGCTGCAGTGGTTCTTTCTCTCCGCCTGCCCTCCACCTCTTTAAATCACCTGGATGGGCATGGATGACTCTTTGTGAAGCTGAAAAGGGCCTGACCTGTGGGTTATGACCAGATAGAATGAAACGTCAGAAGGGAAGGAGAAAGCAGCTGTGGGGTCCTCATGCAGCAGACAAGGGCCAGCCTGAGTGGACAAGCTCAATCCGCTAATTGCTCAACATCACCTGTACAGAGGAACCGAGTTACCTGAATAGTTGTTGTTTGTTGTTGTTGTTGTTGTCATCGTCGTGTACCATCACGTCAGAACCAACCCACAGCTGACCCTTCAGAAGGTTTTCAGAGCCAGTTAATTGCAAGGGAGGAAATTACCCATCCTTCTCCAGCAGAGCAACTGTGGATTTGAACCATATGCCTTTGGGATTGCAATGCAGCTTCTTACCACTAGGCTACCACTAGGCTCCCTAACCTGAGTAGACCAAGTTATAATTAGCAGCCTCTGCTGGGAATTGGATTTTGGGTGTGCCTTATTTCCTTTCTTTATATTCATCTGTGCTTACCAAGCATTCTTCAGTGAGCATGTATTTTTTTTTCAATATGTGGTAAATGTTTACAATTAGCAATAGGATAGAGTGCTTAACCAAGTCTGAAAGATTCGGATGCACACTGTTCTACCTCTGTGAGTTGCTCCGGTGAAATCAGGAAAGTGGCGAGTGAGAAAGTGAAACTGGGAAGTAACTATCTCTTTCACACACCTTGCTAGAAAGATATTGATTCTGGGAAAGTAAGGCTTATCTCAGGGGAGGAAGGCTTACCTTAGAGGATGGGCTGGAAGCTGCAGCCTCTTGGGTGTCTGCCTCCAGGAGCCGCAAGTGGACAAGAAAGAAAGTCGGCCCCCTCCCTCTCTCTGCAGAATTCAGAGAGCTAAGGTGGGGAACCACCGGGAGGGTAGTCTTTGCTGGAGAGAAAGCATCAAAGGGCTTCCCAAAGAGAGTTTACACTTTGTGTCAGAAATTATCATTTCCACTGAGACAGTCACTCTCCTCCCTTGGGGCTGTGTGTACACTAACTTCTCATTTCTGCTGTTGCGTGGGAACTGACTCAGGCCTGATCCTCCAATGTGGTTGGCTAGAAATCTCACTGGAGAAGATTGCCCATGTTTCTACCTCAGAGCTGCTGCATGTGACCACCAGAGAGGCTGGGTTAGGAGCACCACTCCCCACGTACAGTGCCACCCTGCACTAGACACGTTCAGTAAGAGCAGACAGATGATCTCATCTCTAGGGTTTAGGCAGAATCCTCGGAGGAGACTCTCCTAGACCACAGCTGCTCCAGGGGTAAAATAGGCTTGAAGATTCCCTTACAGAGCCCCTTGCTTGTCTCTGGACAGTGCCTAGCACAAGGCGTGCAGAGTGAAGACCCCACGGTAAAGGAAAGGAAGCACAAAGCAGGCTTTGAACGGTGTGCCCTGTGGTACTGGAAAGCCTGCCATAGTTCCCCACACTTTCCTATGGCTTCAGTGGCCCTGCCTGAGCACCCCCTCCTCCCATCCTGTCATGCCTTGTTCCCTGCTTTCCCCAGCACATGTGGACCCAGCTTCCTTGGGTCATCAGACATGTTGCAAGACTTGATTCTGATCCCATGATTCTTGCTGCCTAGCTTGCTCTCCCATTGGCCACTTTCTCCTACAAACCCCTCCTTATCCTCCACATCTGATTCTAAACGTCCTTCCCTTAAGGAAACTTTCTCACCCCTCGCCTCATTAGCTCCCTCTCTCTGCTGGAGCCCTGCGCACCAAGGACCTTAATGCTTGCTCACCTGCGTGCTGCCCTGGGCCTGCATCATAGTTTGAGATGAATACCAGTAAATGGACAATACACATATGGCAGGTGTGGACCCTAGCCTGGGCCAGAGGCAAATACCCAGACCGTTGATCTCATAGCCTTGAAACACTCAGTCACGGCCCCCAAGTGTATTTCTAGCCATGTGCAAACTTTGCTGGCATGAGAGACCAGCTGCCTGATTGTGGCCCTTACAGTAAATGAGAGGGTTGTTGGAGGAAGTGCAGAGTTTGGGAGATGGCTGCAGCCACCCAGTAAGACTGTCTTGATGACCTGCCAGTGTTGAGGGGCTATAACTGCAGACCTTTCAGGACCACCATCAGCTCAGAGAGGTATATGCCTCCCAGGGATGGGAGGGTAGGTTCAGGAGTTGAAGGGACTATTGAAGGCGGGATGCTTCTATTCACCTGTCCTGGTCTGGCCCATCCTTCCAGTTCCATGCTGTGGCATGTTCTTAGAAGCTTTAAATCCATTAGCATTTCTTGGTACAGATCCCATGCTCATCCTCTGTGCACGCCAACTTCCAAACATCTAAGAATAAATGCGAGTCCCCCAGAAAGGCCTGCTGGATCCCTCCAGGACTGACCCATTCAGACCTTCTACATGAGACATCCATCACCACTGACACTACCAGCATCTATCTGTTCACTTCTGCCAGGACTAGATCTCACGCTGTACTGGGAGGTGGGGAGTGGAAGCAAAGCCCTGGACCTTGGCCATGACTGTTGTCCTTTCCTCTCAAATGATCTTTATCCAAGCCTATAAAGAAGAAAAATCCAGCTGTTGTTCCCTGGGTGAGAGTGGTTTTGGAGTGGGATGAGGTCACTGTTTTCAAGGATGTGCAGTGTATCTGTTGAATTAAGGACTGAGTTTGCTAGCAAGTGGCCCTAAGGATTCCCAGGAATGCATTGCCTACTAGGAAAAAGAAGAATGCTAGCTAAGTTGTCAGGATAGGAGAACACCAGGCTTGTCAGAGCATGGAGACTCCCAGAAAGCAAATGAATTTGATTATATTGAACACAGCAATTGATTTTTTTTTTCCAAATAAACATGCAAGAGGAAACCATAATGGGCATCTGTGTCTGATGGGAATCAATTGACCCTAAATTGGGGGGGGGGGGAAGGTAGAAACACAAAGAAGCACAAGAGACAGTGTTTGGGCATCCAGGCTTGTAGAGAAAAGGGAGAGAGGGTGAGAAAAAAACATGGCAAGAAGCTGTGCTGCAATCCCAAAGCCACAGGGTTCGAATCCACCAGCTGCTCCATGGGATAATGAAGGGCAATCTCCTCCTGTGCAACTGGCTGGCTCTGAAAGCCTGTCAGAGGTTCGGCTATGGGTTGGTACCAACTTAACGGTACACAACAACCACCAAGTGGCTTCCCTGTTTATTGTTGTTTTTTGAAAACAAGTCAGAACCAACCAACCCCAGTGAGTATTCAAAAGGAGTAAATAACACAGGAGATTGCTTCTCCCATGGAGCAGCTGGTAGATTTGAACCCTGTGCCTTTGAGATTGCAGCACAGCTCCTTACTGCTAAGCCACCAGAGCTCCCCACCCTGTTTATTATTCCTTATCAAATAATAGTAAGGGGGAAGGTAGCTAGATTTTGTGAGTTCTTATTTAGTACCAGAGGAGCCCTGGTGGCACAGTGGTTAAGCGCCTGCCTGCTAACTTCAAGGGTGACGGCATGAACCCACCCAGTGGCTCTGCGGGAGAAAGGCCAGGTGATCTGCTCCTATAAATGTTGATGAAGGATATAGAGTCAATGTCCACTCATTGCAGCCTAGGAAACCTCCTGGAGCAGTTCTACTTAGTCAGGTAGGGTCCCTATGAGTTAACAATCAACCATCAGCACATGTCCACAACATTTGGTGCTCAATCCTTTATGCACATATCTTTTTTAATCTTCATAACAACCCTACGTGATAAGTAGTGTTGTTATATGTGATAAGTAGAGTTGTTACACCCACTTCACAGATCAAGTCACTGACAGTTTGTCCCAGGCTACACAACAAAGCAGCAGCAGACTCAAACCCAGTGGATTCTAGAACCCATTAGAGGAGAATTCCCAGCTTTCTACCCCAGAGCTTCTGTTGGATTTGAACCAGCAAACCCAGAATCGCTGGATTTTGAATCAGCATTGTTGTATCTCCATTTCCTAGCCATCATCTGTTTCCTAATGCTCTAAACTACCCCAGGAATTGAAGGAAGCCGCTCAGGCACCATAGAGCCCACTCCATTCTCCAGGACTCAGTAAAGCCATGCACAGGAAGTGCGCCATCCGTGAGGCAGGTCTGGAGGAGGGCCAGAGGGCCCTGCTCTGCCAACCTCCCCATGGTCCCTGTTTACAGGCCGCACCCTGTATGCCATTCATTCTAGTAAACTATCGCCAGCAAGATAAACTATGTCATGTCACAGCGCATCACAAGCTCCATTTGCCAAAACTGTGCAGCTCTGGCGCTGTTCAACGAGCACGCCTGTGATAAAAGGCCTAGGAGGAATGGGCTGTGTGCTTCGGGTTTAATTTTGTAAAGCTTCCTTTTGTTTCTTGGTCATAGGCTCGTGTACACATGTTTGTTCTGAAGTAATCCAGCTCTGGGAGTACACCTAATTAACTTAAGCAGGGTTTATTAGTCCTGTTAACTAAAACTCCCTAATCTATGAGGCCAAGTATTCAAAAGCAGCCTTTAAGGTAGGATTAAGGCAAATACAAGCTGTTACAAAATAGAATCACTGGAGCTGGCTTTCCCAAAGCTGCTTCAGGGCTATGGCTGAGAATTCCCTTGGATGCGTTCCTTGTTGCATCCAGCACTCAACTCTAGCAGAGCTCCATAAAATCTGTGCTCTCATGGTGGACAGACAGACAAACAAGTCCATCTGGTTATATTGTTCATTGCACACACCAACTGCCCAACCTCTGTTTGTGAGTAAAATGTTATGAACTGAGAGACTAAATGAGACACCTGTGCAATGACTTCATCTTCTCTCTCAGGTGACACATGCACCATGGCCGAGTACGCCCGCCTGAAGAACGTCCTCCTGGCGCTCCAGTCCCACCTGCGACCACTCCCAGAAGGGGACAGCAGGCAGGACATGGCCTCTGAGAAGCGCCTCCTTGTGGAATCCCTGTTTAAGGACTTGGATGCAGATGGCAATGGCCACCTCAGCCGCTCTGAACTGGTTCAGGTAGGTATGAGGCTCCTCTGCTGGGTAGAAATTGAGTTAGGGAGGAAGTCCATTTGCATTCAGCGTGTAAACAGAAGAGAACACAGGAGAGCCATCGCTAACTGCCTGTATGGTGAAGATGTACAGGACCGCCCCCCATGGAGGTGGGGGGAGTTCTCTTTGCCTCTCCTGGAAATCAGCTGGTTCAACACCTCTGAGAACCAGCCAGAAACAAAATCATGTCAGTTTCTTCTTCCCATCAGCCACCTTCAGCCAATATTTACAAACAATCTTGGAAGCACTCCCCGCTAGCTGGCAGAGCACACACATCAGAGAGGCTGCTCTCTGATGTTTTAATTGGGAAATAAATCTTTTCTTCCTTGAGTTCTTTATTTCCCTCAGCAAGAAGGTTAAAAGGAAGCAACACTGGATTTCTCTGTAACCCGAGCTTCCTGATCCCTCTGCCACGTAATTGCTCAGTTCTTTATAGTATGCAGAGGTTCCTGTATGATGCACTTGATTAGCAACCTAAAGGGTTGATGGCTGAAACCTACCCAGCAGTGCCATGGAAGAAAGGCTTGGAAATCTGCTTCTATAAAAAAGGTTGTTGTGTTATGTGCTGTCAAGTCACTTGCAACTCATAGCGACCCTATATACAACAGCCCTAAACCTATCCGTTGCCAATCTTATTGTCTGTGACACACCTATCCCCGTTACCCCAGTGATGGAATCAGTCCATCTCATCAAGGGTCTTCCTCTCCTGCGCTGTCCCTCCACCCTCCCAAGCATGATGTCCCTCTCTAAGGACTGATCCTGCCTTGCAACATGTCTAAAATATGTCAGAATCCTTACCTCCAAGGAGCAGACTGCCTTCGGCCTCTCCAGGACAAACTTGTTTGTTCTCCTAGCAGACCATGGTATATTCAATATACTCTTCTCCAACACCAAAGCTCAAAGACATCAACTCTCCTTCTGTCATCTCTAGTCATTGTCCAGCTCCCTGATGCATAGCAAGTAATGGCAAAAACCATGGCCAATATCAGGAGCACTGTAGTCTCCAGATTGACATTGTTGCTCTCTGACAGTAGACTTTCCCAACGCAATTCATCTTTTGATTTCCTGGCTGCCAGTACCAAGAGTGTTGATTGTAGAGCCAAGCAAAAGCTGTCAACAATCTCAGTCTCTTCATCATCCATCATGATGCTGCCAATTGGCCCAGTGGTGAGAATCTTTGTTTTCTTAATGTTGAGCTTCAATCCATATTGAAGGCTGCAGTCCTTGACCTTCTGCAGTCATCACTTCAGGTGCTCCTCAGGTTCAGCAAGCATAACCAAGAAAATTCTGGCACACAGTTTTGCTATGTGGGATCACTGAATGGGAGCAGAATTGGTCTATGGTATGAAATATGAACAGTGCAAACCCTGGCCTACTTGCTTGCAGGAAGCTCTGCTGACAGAGAACTGGTGTCTACCCCAGCACTTCTGAGGCACCCACACTTACCATGCTCTACTTTGCCTTATATGAGGCATTGGTCCTCCCCCCTGCCTCCAATGCCCAGCCTCTGCAGAGTGGGGTACCTCCAATTTACTGAGGCTGTGGGATTAAGTTGGAAGATGAGAAATGAAAGGAATTGCAGCAAAATAGATGTCAGACACCCCTTCCTTAAGCTTACCACAAGCAAGCCAAGTCACCGCTGCTCCTACAGTTATCGGGGTCCAGTATCATGGGCAGAGTTCCTTCTCTCTGCTTCTCCAGCCCTCCCACCCTTCACCTAAGTTCCTGTGTCTTAGCATGGCAAGAACTCTCTGTCCTTTCACTTCTCATGAAAGGGAATTCCTCTTCCATTTTTCCCATTTTCTCACCTCCAGAATCAGATGTTAATTTTGTAAATGAAAGGACTTAATCCAGGTATTTTCTCAAATGGAAATGCAATCCGTCCCTAAGGTGAGTTCTAGCTCCCATGAGCAATCTCCTTCCCTATGATTTACTACCACTGAGATCCTGCTAGAGGGGTTAGCTATGAGTCGGTCCTGACTCAGCATGACACAAAAACTCCAAAGGCTATGGATTGGAACCCAGCAGCCCCAAAGTGAAGCATGGAAAAATCAACCTTGCCCCAGGTCATAACAGGCCTGCACCCCTGCTCTTTCCTGCTGACATACTTCTAAGGACCTCGGGCTCTGGAGTCACACAGGGCAAGTGTGCAAAGAGGAAACTGTGGTCCCAAGAGATCAAGCAACTTAAGATGAGGTTGTGTTCACTGCTGAGGAAATGCAAAAACCATTGAATGCTGAGCAAGAAGCATCTACTCAGAGACTTTGCACCTCAACAGCACCACTGGGCCAAAGACTGCCTCTAGGAGCCTCTTTGAGTCACAGATCTTGAAGCATCCTCAGACCCCACACTGCTCACCCACACTTGGGCAGCATGTGCAATCCACCAAGGCCTGCATCCCAGGAGAACTATGGTCTGCAGCCCCAGGGCACCATTGAACCAGCCTGTCACCCTTCAGCAGCACTCAACCTCTAGCAGTGGCCAAGACTCCCAAGGGACAGTAACAGGGACAAGATAGGTGAGCCATAGATGATCCAGTCCATGAAAAAGCTCCTTCCTAGACTAACCTGCGAGTTACCCCTCCCAGCCCGAAGAACCACCTGCTAATTCACAGCATGGGTCGCCACAGGGTACACGGAGGACAAGGAGCTTTGGGTTCACCCTGGACAGAGACAGCAATGGGCTCACACTCCGGCAGGCCCACGTGGTTCCCGGGGAGCCAGGTGAACAGAACGTTCCTGGGCATATTGCTCTAACCTGACAGAGTTGTGCCCCGAGGCACCTGAAGCCATTAACAAGCGTGGTAATTGGACTATGATTTCCTCTTTAAAATTTAATGTGTTTAAAGTCCATTTCATAAATCTGCCAGGCAGAGCACAGCTAAAATGGGCCTTTCCTTGACACTGAATCGCAGGGACTAGGAAAAACGCGTCAGCCCTTCTGAAAAGTTAATCAATTTCCAATGCCGAAATAGACAAAGGGAAATTTCCATCTTTGGAAGATTGATCTGGGGCGATGTGGTTGATCTCCCTTTTAATGAACACTCATACTTGCTTGGTGAAGGGTCATTTTTTTTTAACATTATCACATTAAATTGCTTTTAATTTAGCAAGCCACACTAAGAATGTTAAATAAAAAGAAAATGCTTCTGTCCCCTTCTACTTAAAATAATTTCTTCGGAGATCTTCTGAGCATTCTCCTTCCCAGATCACTAATTCTGGTCATCTTTAGCTGAGCGGAGGTGACTGGGATATGCACCTGGAGGCATCTGGGGCAGCTCTGTGGCCGGAGCCCCAGGCTCACAAGGGCCAGACCACAGCCCCTGCCAGCGTCCCAGGGACAGGCATTTGTGTTCCTGGAGGGACAGGCTGGGACTGGAGGGAGGGCTCAGGCCAAGGTCAGTAGAAGAGCTGCAGCCCCCTCAACTCTCCATGTGGGCTGCAGCTGGGAGGATCTCCCTGAGGGCGGTAATGGCCACTCTCCTGTTCTGCCCTGGCTCAGACCGTGGCGCTTTGGGAGCTGGAGACTTCCTGCACTACAGAGCTAAGAACCAAGCAGCCTCGGTTCAATGCTCTTGAGTTCAGCCACTGTTAACTCCATTTGTGGAATCAAGTCCCTTCTCTTCTGCTTGCCCCCCACACACAAGGGTTGACCAGACGGCCTCGGGATTCTTCCTCACTTGAACTGAGGTCTGTCTGCTCAGATGGAAGAGGACAGGCTTGAGCGGTAGTTCACCCTCTGCCCCCACCACCGTATCACCTTGGGGAAGTATCTTTCCCTCTCTGAGCGTCTGTGTTCTCATCTATCTAAGGAAGGTGTGAGGCAGGTCAAAACCAAAGAGCTGTTGGTGCTCTCCCCAGAAGCCCGGCCTTCCCTCGGGCGGCCACCACAGCCTGCTCAGCCCTGTTTTCCCGTGGGGGGTGTCCACCACGCTGACTCACTCCAGGCTCTGGCTTTGTTCTCCCCCTTCAACCCACAGCACTCAATGAAGGAGCAGGACCTGGATGAGGACTTCCCGGGGTGCTCGCTGAGCGATCTCCTCCGCTTTGACGACTACAACAGTGACAGCTCATTGACCCTCCGCGAGTTCTACACGGCCTTCCGTAAGTCACACCCCTGTCTGGGGTCCCAGTGGGCACTGGGGCGTGTTGCTGCACCAAAAAAATACCCCAGAAAAAGTGTCAAGACCTGGGGTGTGTCCTCAGTTGGCCCAAGGTTGGCTGCTAATGCACATGAAAGATACTGCCTTTGGTATCTTTTTTTTTTTTTTGCCTTTGGTATCTTGACAAGTCTTTAAAAAGGGGGGGGGGGGGGGGGGGAGAAGGAGAACATGCGGAAAGGTGCAGTCTGTTTCCCTTTTTGTAAAAGGCTTGTCTAGTTGTTAGTGGAGTAATTCAGGATTCTGAAGGAAGGATGTTGTTTGGGTCCTGCTGGACACTCTGTGGGTCCTGTAACTGTAGAGGACAGATTTTTAAGGAAATTCTGCAGAAAAACCCAAAGGCTCACCTGGGCAGAGGCAAGTTGATGGGAGATGGGAGAACCCCTGAAGAGAAACAGAGAATCAGTGTTCCACCTGGAAACAAAGGGGGTCCTGTGGGTGACCCTGTCTAGGGTCTTTGGCACATATAAGACAAGCCGACTACTTTTTTAAATTTTATTTTAGTGAACATTTACAGAGACTTTGGATTTCCAGTCATTTACTGTTGCACACCTTACTCCCTGCCCACCCCTCACTCCTAGTTCACTTTTCTTTTTCAAAAATAAAAAACAAAATTATTTCACTTTTTTACAGGCCCCCCCCCCCCCCCCCCAGTTTACTCCACTATGCAGTTTTCATTCTGGACTCTTGTCATGACAATAATACCCCTCCCTTACCTGTTTGAATGCAGTATACATTATTTATCCCCACTTTCTCAGTCTCCCCACAACCCTGATGTCAGTCCTGTTTTACAACAGTGGCATGATATAGTGTTTGTCCTCTTGTGACTGAGATACTTCACTCAGCATAATGTCCTCCAGGGTCTCCCATTTTGTAGAGTATGTTATGAGTTCCTTGTTTTTTAATACAGCATAGTATTCCATTGTGTGAATATACCAGAGCTTCTCTATCTCTTCATTTGTTGATGGGCACTTGGGTTGTTTCCAATTCTTTGCTATTGTGAACAAAGTAATAATAAACATGGGTGTGTGCATATATCTGCTTGGGTGGCAGTTCTGGTTTCTTTGGGGTATATTCCCAGTAGTGGTATTGCGGGGTCAAATGGTATCTCTATTTGCAACTTTTTGAGAAAGCGCCATACTGCTTTCCATAGTGGTTGCACCGTTTTATACTCCTACCAACAGTGAGTAAGGGTTCCAGTTCCTCTGCAACCTTGCCAGCATTTGTTGTTTGAGACAAGCAGACTCTTACGGATTTTCTAAGAGATCACCATGTGTTCCCAATACACAGAGCTGGGACAAGAGTTCCCGGAGATGACAGATTGCTCTGAACAGAGGCCAACAGGGCTGTGCTGACCTCAGACTCAGGGCTGGAAGGGACATTCCTGGCCATGAGGAGATGAAGCATCTTTCTGCTGAGGACAGCATTCAGACTCTGACTATAAGAGGCAGAATATGTACTCCATGTGTCACACCCTTGGGCATGACTTTCAAATTCAAGGCATCTACCTGCAGATCTTGGGATAGAGAGCTACATGTAAGACCCCTAGGGGGCACCAAGTCCTCTGAGGCACAGATATTCTCCTGCCTGTCCCAAATTTGCTACCTAGAGTTCCATTTTCCAGAAAAGTGTCCGAGCTTCACATTTCTTTGAGTAGTTTCTATTCCAAACATTCACAAGATTTGAGAAGGAGTCTTCATGATTTGTTGGCAAGATGGGTACTTGTGGCAAATAGAAGAGGTACTTGCTGACACAAGAGGAAAAAACACAAGTACGATTCTTCCCTGTGAGAAGTGTCGGTGAGCTTGAGAGAGGGTGTTTTTCCCAGTCCACAGAGTCCTATTGCCAAGATCCAAAGTCCAGCTAATGAGTATGGGGCTTTACTTGACGTTCCGTGTGTGGTTCTCCATCATCCTCCCACCTCACTGTAACACTTGCACCTACTTACCATAGTTCATTGACACTAATGACAAGTAGGCTTAGTCTGTTGTGGCAGGTATTTGCTCTTTGAATCAAGGAACTTGCTTCTGGGAATAGAAATTCAAATATTGGAAAATGAGAAAGTATCAACTGATCCCTAGAGCTGGCTCATGCATGCTGATTGTGAGATTTTAAGGAATCTTGCAAAGCAGTTGTGAAACATCTGTTAATTTTATGTCGGCTGTGTTGTTGTTTTTGTTGTTAGATGTCATCAAGTCAACTATGATGTAGAGCAGCCCAGGGAATCGGCAGCTGGCCCTGTCCTGCACCATCCTCCTGGTCTTTAATGTGCTAGAGTACATTTTTAAAGTCACTGTGTCAACCCATCTTGTTCAGGGTCTTCCTGACTTTCCACTTTTCCCAGCATGATATTTTTTCCAGAGACCGGTGACTCCTGCCAACATGCACAAAGCATATGAAACGAAGTATCACCATTCTTCCTCTGAAGAACAACCTGGTTGCACCTCCTCCAAGATTTATGCTTGTTTGTTCTTTTGGGAGTCCACAGGATATTAGTACTAGTATTCTTCTCCAATATCATAACTCAACCGCATCAGTTCTTCTCCTGTTATCCTTATTGATTGTCCAATTCTCAGATGTATAGCAAGTAATTGAAAAGACCATGGCTTGGATCAGACCCGCCTTAGATTTTTAAACTGACATTCTTAGAAGAGATCCTTGACAATAGATTTTCCCTGTGTAACACATCCTTTGATTTCTTGGCTGCTATTTTACTATGGGTGTTGATTGATTGTGCGTCCAAGTAAAATGAGATCATTGGCAGCTTCAGTGTTTTCTCTGTCTATCATGGTGTTGCTTATTGGTCCAGTGGCAAAGATTTTTGTCTTCTTGATGTTAATATGTAATACACATTGAAGGCTGTAGTCTTTGATCTTCTGCAGTAAGTGCTTCAAAACTTCACTTTTTACAAGCAAGGTTTTGTCACTTTTATAACACAGGTTGGTTTTTTTTTATTAAATTTTATTAGTTTTAATGAACATTTACAGAGATTTTGGGTTTTCATTCATTCATTGTTGCACTGTTTCCTCCACCCTCATCCCCAGTTCGTTCTTCTTCCCCCACCCAACGTCTGTTTTAATTGTCCAATTGCCACAGTGCTTGTCAAAGCCAGTTCTGATTAATCTCCTTTGTCAGTGTGTCCCTTGCCATTCCCTATCACTCCTCCCTGAGAGAGACTTCACCCTGATTCATAAGGAAAAGGGGACGGTGTATTCTCTTAGTTACTTCCTGCTGAAAAGGGACACTGTGGGTTTCAGGGCCCCTTTGGCAGTAGGAAACACATAGACTATTATGGAGATTGATTTTGGAATTTAGATGCACTGTTATCAATTGTGCTTAGCCGTACATGTTCATATCCTTTAAGATGTATCATGGAAGTGTTGCAGCCTAAAAGATACAAATTTAACTAACAATATAACACAGGTTGTTGATGGATCTTCTTCCAATCCTGATGGCCATATTCATCTTCATGTAGTTAGCTTCTCAAATTATTTGCTCAGCATATAGATTTAATAGATATAGAGAAAGAATATAACCCTAGTTCACAGATTTCCTGTTTTTAAGCTTACAGTGTTCCCTTGTTCTGTTTGGACAATAGCTTCTTGGTTTACATACAGGTTTCTCATGAGCATAATGAAGTGTTCTGGGATAACCATTCTTCTCAGTGTTAGCCATAATCTACTATGATCTACACAATCAAGTGGCTGTGTGTAGTCAATAAAAGTCAAGTAAAAATATTTCTGGTATTCTCTACTTCCAGCCAAGAGCCATCTGATGTCAGCAATGGTCACCCTCATGCCATGGCCTCTTCTGAATTAAGCATGAATTTCTGTAAGTTCCTTGTTGATGTACCATTACAGCCATGTTTTAATGATCTTCAGCAAGCGTTTGCTTTCCTATGATAATATTACTTGATAATGTCCACACCTGTTTTTTGAGTGGAAATAAATATGGATTTCTTCCAGTTGGTTAATCAGGTAGTGACTTTCCAAATGTCTTGGCAGAGGCCACCGAGTACATCCAGGGCTGCATCTGTTAGAGTAAACATCTCAATTAGAAATCTGTCAATTCATGAGTCCTTCTTTTTGGATGACGCTTTCAGTGTAGCTTGAACTTCTTCCATCATTACTGTTGGTTTTTGATTGCATGCTACATCTTGAAATAGTTCAGTGTTGAGCAGTTATTTTCAATACTGTGACTGTGTGTGTTCTTTCCATCTTCTTCTGATGCTTCCCTGTGACATTCAATATATTGTCCATAGAATTGGGCTGTATTGCAATCAGAATCTTAAATTTTTTTTTCTTCAGTTATTTGAGTTTGAGGTAGTGGGAGTGTTTACTCAACAGATATGTGCACCACCCGAATGCTGCCAGAGCAAAGGGACTTCAGTTCTCAGGTAGCCAGCTGTTAGTTACTGACTAGCTCACCCGTGCCGAGACCCTTCTTCCTTTTTTCCGTCTTCTCTGCCTGCACTCTCCTCTGCATTCTTTCCTAGATGTACATTGCTTCATGACTTTTGCTCTAGGACTCTGGAGGCCTAAGGGGTAGAGAGTTGCACTGCCAACCCAAAGGCAGGAATCCACCAGCTTTTCTGTGGGAGAAAGATGGGCATTCTCCTCCTAGGCAAATCGTAAACTCTGAAAACCCACTAACGCTATTGCCAAAGATCATGATTGAGAAGGGAGACTATGAAGATAGACTAGGGAGAGCTGTCTTCTTAGCCAAGAAAGAAGTAACATGCTTCCAGAAGACAGTTGTAAGATATTTTCAGCATACTTTCTGCCCTCGTGCTCCTTTGCAAAAGGAGTAATGAGCGCTAATGCCGTGTAAGAACCAGGAACCAAGGGATTCAGAGAATGGCACCAGCATCACCCTCCATGAGCCCCAGGATGGCATCATTAAGCAGAGAATGTCACTGTGTAGACGTCATCCTGATACCTACTA